ATATATAAAAAATACATGAAGATGTTTACAATTGATCATCTTGATATGACCTGACCTGTTTTGGGTCAAAACCTTTTTTTTTTTTTTTTTTGGTTGAGGTTCTAAGTATTTCCTGTTCTTGTGTTGAAGAGAGCTTGTTCTGATCTGGAACGTCAAGACACTGGCTCAATGACTTAGATGTGATTCTGGAATTTCATATGATGAACTACATAACTGGGTTAAATTAAAGGCAAAGTATTGTTTTGTTCTTTGCGTCCAGTTTGTTTTTCTACTTTGTTTCTCCTCATTTTAATTGCTCTATAGAACAGCAAGCACCGACAGTACAAGTGTGTGTGTGTGTGTGTGTGTGTGTGTGTGTGTGTGTGTGTGCGTGTGCGTGAGGGTCTTTTCTACCCTCTTGTTCCCCGACAGCCATTTGAGAGTGGGGTCCTAAAGAAGGGCAGGCCGCCGGGTGTGGTCCTGGGCTGCGGGTGGGCTCGGGGCTTGGAGTGTTGCCAGGGTTGGGGCTGGCTCTCCATCCTCCCTGGTGCTGCTTCACAGCAAAAATGCCAGTGTTAATTTTAACACCAGCAAAGTGTCTTTATGTGTCCACACTCGCTGGTGTTAAAATAACATAAAGAAAAATGTTAAATTTTAACACCCATTTTTTATTTTAACACCAACCAGTGTTTAATATTAAACAATTCTTGGTGTCACATTAACATAAAAATAGTGTTATGGCTCGTTCACACCGAGAGCGTTTTGAGCGGCAGGAGCTGCCAGTTTACATGCAAAGACGTTTTGCGCTTTTTGGCCGCTCAAAACGCGTTTGGTGTGAACGTAGCATTAGTGTTAAAATATAGTGTTAACAGTAACACTATCCAGTGTTAAATACTCAACAATACTGGGTGTCATATTAACATTTCAACAGTGTTCAAATAAAGTGATAAAAGTATCACCTGTGGATTATCATTAACAAAGTAAGTTGTGGTGTTAGAAAGGTTAACAGACACCATCAATTGGAGCGCGTAGATTCAACACTCAGAGTTAATATCAAACTGAAGTGTTGCATTGACACTACTCAGTAAAACTGTTCAACGGAGTCGAGCTTCACACACCAGGACATACCTCTCACTCATGGTGTCGATTTTTGGCCAATAACACAAGCTTAAACTTGAACAACTTGATCAAACTGAACAAGAAAACAACCAGAACAAATATTTTTTTACTCTCATGAACTCCTTTAATAGTTATAACCCTACAAACACATAATTTCTGCAAGATTTCTCAGCAAGGAATGCTGGGTAAATACTGGTCTGTCTGACATGATGTGGAAGAGGGCGGGGCTTTTCAGAATGCTTCTTTCAACACTGCATGGTGTTATATAACATTGTTAAGTGTTAAATAAGAACTGTGGGCGGAGCTTATTTAACACTGTCCAGTGTTGAGACAAAACTGAGGAACTCAACACTGTGAATTAACACCAGCACTGGGTGTAAGTGTACTCAGAGTGTTAAAATAACACTAGGGGGTGCTAAATCAACACCAAAGGTTTAACACTGAAAATTTAACACTCCTGTTTTTGCTGTGTTGGACTCCTGGAATGTGGCTCCTGGTTGCTGTGGATGGCCTGCTGGCTGCTGGGTTCCGGTGGGTGGGTGGGGGTAGGGG